GATAGGGGTATTACGAGGTAAATTTTAAAAATTTGTGAAAAAGCCTAGGTTTACTAATTAACTAAAGACCCAACATATAAAATGACAAAAAAAACCCAACCACCTGCAGTGTTAGATTCCGGCCACCACCGCCGAAATCTGACTAAAAATTTCGTTACGGCAAGACGGTCGGATCTGTGCCGTAAAATGCCGTTATGGCTTTTCGGCCAGATCCATGGTGGATTTGGCCGGAAAAGGCCAGACTACGGTCTGTTATGGCCGTCGACGGCCGAAAAAGGCCAAACGAGGGCCATCTTTGGCCGTTAGCGACGGCTAAAGATGTGGCCGTCGTTTTCGGTCAACGACGGCCATTTTTGGCCTTCGTTGACGGCCAGATCGGCCTTTCCGGCCAGATCCGTGGTGGATCTAGCCTGAAAAAGCCAAGCGGTGAATCCAGCCATTTCTGGTCGGAAGTTAGGCCGTTTGTAAAGATTCGGCTATCACGACGGTGGTTGCCGGAATCTGACAAGTTGGGTGATGGGGGTGTTTTTGTTAATTTTTGAACTTTTTTTCAGGGGGTATTTAGTGAAATTAATAACTATGGGGTTAAATGTAATTAAAAAAAATAGGGTAATATTTGTAGAATAGTGTGCTAAACATTATTGGAGAATAGGATCCAGAATAGGGATAAAAATATAAACCAAGCATGTAGTTAGTCATATTAAGTCATTGAAATTTGTGCAAATTGTCTTTCATTTTTTATGTCTGTGAACACATCCAACATTTGTAGATAAAAGCTAAGAGAATCGTCTGATAAGCTCAATTCTTGTGTTATATATGAATTATGCTAGGGACTCAGGGGAAACTCCTTAGTAAAACAGAATTTTAGAAGTTGGCGAAATCTGCGTAGCAATGGTTTTGGTTGGGTGGAGAGTGTTCTTTCCTTGGAAAATATTACAGTTGGATGTTTTGGTTGAAAATTGTTTAATGGAATTTCAATTAATAAAGTATTTACATCCATGTTGGGCAGGCTTGAGCAAGAATCAGGGATTTATTTCAACATGAAGTACTTCGACGAGAAAGTTCAATCGGAGAATGGGACGCAATTGAGAAATACTTGTCAGGATTTACCAAAGTTGATGATAACCAATATTCTATGAAGATTTTCTTTGAAATTAGGAAGCAGAAGTATCTTGAGGCACTTGATAGGTAATAGTAATTTGCATTTATCTGTGAAATTTTTTTTATGTTTTGTCTTTAATTTTGAAGTATTAATTTTTTCTGCCTTAAATCATATCACAGGCAAGACAAGGCAAAGGCTAAGAAATATTGGGGACTGATTTAGAGTGTTCTCTACATTTAATGAGGAACTGTATAAAGAAGTTACACAGTTTTTCAGTTGAGGTAATTTTGTTGGTTCTAAATTTCCTCTTAAATAATGAGCTAAATTGAAAGTTGAATATGTTTATGATCAGTTTGCCCGAGTAAATGCAATAGTCATTATTCAAATTTTGAGAAAATAGGAATCTTCACTCAATTAGTTTATGTAAAAAGTTGGCTGAGTGTGAGAGTTCTTCCTTTCATATTGAAGACAATCTCCATTTACTGCAAGATTTTTATTTCTTTACATTTCATACTGTTCTGGTACCCATCAGAGCATCATTTTTTTTTAATGATTTCTTGCGCTTGCAAGTGTTGTAGTATGGCATTGTTGGTTGTTCGACTTGTATTACTTGAGTTTATGACCCTTTGGCGTAGCGAATTACATTTCTTATGGTATCCTTCTCCAAATTCAACTGAGGAAATGAGCGGCTGCCCAAGCATGGTGACACGAAGACAGCTCGTGAGCATAATGGTGATAGAGCTCAAAAAAACTGATCGAGGCAAACCCACTTTTCCTCAATAAGCTTACCTTTCCTTCCATGAAGTCATCAAGATTGTGGGCTCTGATTAAGCATGGGTAAAGTGATGATACAATGATAAAATACAATTATTTGTTTCTAATTTCTATCTAGTTTTGCCATTAATGATCCCTTTTTTCTTTTTTCATTCATTCATTATGCTTATCATGAAGCCTGCTTATGAAGTATGCCTTTTTTTGTTCTGTTTGTTTCTTATAAAGTGGAGCTGCGTTTCTGTGTTTTTGCTGGTTTTCTATGAAAAAGTTGGAGCCAAATACCAGTATTTAATACAGAGGTTTTCTTTGATGCAGTTTGAAGTGGGAGCTCCGGTTCGGCAAGAACCCAAGGCTAAACCCTGACGTTAAGAAACTGTTACTGACCATCTATATACAACTCCATTTGTCTCTTGCACCTACACCTTCATTATCCTGTTGCAGCAGTTGCAAAGCCAGCTTCTATACGTCACTTGGAGGCACGATGTATGATAATAATTTCACATCCTTATCATTTAAGTAAATTTTAACCATATGGCTAATGCCTTTTTTGTAAAGCTGGGTTTCTGCCATTCTGCTTTCAAGTGTTAGTCCTATCAATTGTAAAGTTGTAAAGTAAATGGAGCTCTCCTGTCAGACCTCCAGTCATCGTATTTTGCTATTAACTTGTTTACTTATGATTTGATTTTCTACTCCTTTCACAAAATTATTGTCTGTTGGTGTCTTATCAGGCCAGAAACATATTAGTTGTGTAAAGTCTACCTAGGGAATGATTTTTCCTTGTGCTTTACTGTGTTTTCTAGCTCAATTTTTTTTTTTTCGCTATTTAGCCTAGAAAGTTGGTCGATTCGTACTGTAAACTTTTTTCTTGGGTTTCTCTTTTAGGGTGGAGTTGATCCTGCTAGTGAAGCATGAAAAGTCAGGAAGTGTGGATGATGTAATTGATGCCAAACCTGGCAGGGAGCAAAACACTTGGTGTTATACTTCAATTCTGGAAGAAGAGAACCCTTTGGAAGCTTCCACCCTATAAATATGTTTTGATTCTGTAATTTCTTAAAGTTTGTAAATTATAAGTTTAGATCCTGCGTGATATTTTATGTGCATGTTTTGGATATTATTATTATTATCCTTATACAGATTTTTTTCTAAATACAACTCGTTCTCCAGACATGTATCCTCGGGATTCTCATTGAGGGATATTCAGAGGATACCTGACTGGAGGGGGGTTTTACAATGTGGCCGTTTCATGACTAAAGATCTGGTCTTTTCACAACTAGATCTATGGTTTTTTCACGACCAGATCTATGGTTTTTAGATTTGATTGTTTCCGACCATGGATCACAAATCTATGGTTGGAAACGTCTTTACTGGTATACGACCGACAAGATCTCGTCAGTCTTGCCCCAATATGATGGACTTTCGCTAGTGATCAGCGGTGCTGGCTAGCGGCCAACGGTGGTCTTGGGTGGCTAGAGGTATTTTGTTAACTTTAAAACTTTTTTGTGACTGAGGTATTTTAGCTATATTTTAAAATATAGGAAGTCTGGGCAATTGTTATTTGATAGACATATAAGGGCAAATGTGTCCGAAATGATAAAAGATTAAAGACAAAATAAGGTCAAAATTAAGATTAATTCGGTAATTTTATATTAACATCCCTTGGGAAGGTAATCTGATTACCTCCAATATTACTAACAGTAAACACTATGGTAGCGTTTGGTTCAGGAAATGTTATATTATTAAGGAATGTTGTATTACTAGAAAGATAGATTACTAGGGAATCTTTACAGAAATTTGTTTGGTCGATTGGAATAAATTGGTGGGTATGTTATAACAATATGTTTCGTTGAGAGGATAAATGAGTGGGTATGTTATGTAGATTACTAAATTACCCTCATTTTAAAATAATAATATAATATTATTTTTATTATTATTTTATTCTATTATTTTTTAACTTATTTTTTAACCCCCCCTATATTTGAAATTTTACCAAAACACCCCAACCATATACAACTTTAATTTGTAGCAAAGTCACCCCCACTCACCTCAAACCACTGTCGGCAACCACCACCACCACCGGAAGCCGCTGTAATGGCGTAGCCGGATTTGACTGGTCGTATGCCATCAGGCCTAATCCGGCCAGATCTGGCTGTGAATATGGTCGTTTCATGGCTAGATCTAGCCGTTAATATGGCCATTTCACGGCCAAAGATGTGGCTGTGAAACAGCCATAGATCTGGTTGTGAAAAGGCTAGATCTTTGGCCTTGAAACGGTTGCAATTTCACAGCCAAAGATCTGGCCTTTTCACGGCCAGATCTATGGCGTTTCACAGCCACATCTTTGGCCATGAAACGGCTAGATCTGGTCGTTTCCGGCCATGGATCACAAATCCATGGTCGGAAATGTCCTGATCGGCACTTGCCGGTCTTGTACCCATATGATGACTTTCGTCAGTGGCCAGTGGTGGTCTTGGATGATTAGGGGTATTTTGTTAACTTTTAAACTTTTTTGTGGCGGGTGTGTTTTAGCTAAGTTCTCAAATGTAGGGGGTCTGGGCTAATTGTTATTTGGTAGACATATGAGGGCAAATGTGTCTAGAATGATAAAATATTAAGGGTAAAATAGGGTAAAAATTATGATTACCCTGGTAATCTAACATTAGCACCCCCTGGGACGGTAATCTGATTACCCCCAATATTACCAATAGTAATCACTATTTACAATAAAATATTACTGTAATATTATATTACTTGATAACCAAATAAGAAAATCTTAAAAATTAAATAAAGATTATAAGATTTATCTTATTTCACCCCGAACCAAACGCAACCTAAAAATAAAATAAAAATGAAATCATGGTCATCACAACCAGCGAAAGCAGCACGATGCCGTTTTAGCTTCTGAAAATTCAAACTGAATGGCAGTTTTCGTAATAATCTTCCGATCCATGTCTACTTTCCTATATAAGCCCTTTTTTTTTTTTTTTTTTTTTTTTTTTTTTGGGTCTTTTCGTCCCGCGCTCTCTTAAGCCTCTCCCGAATTCACTCTCTCGACCTCTCTATTTAAAATTATAATTTCGTATTAGGGTTTTAACACTTTTTAAATGCAAATTCAAATTTAAAAGCGATGTCGTTGAGTCCGAGCGAGAGTACCGAGGTCCGCCGGAACCGCTACAAGGTTGCGATGGACCCGGATGAGGGACGCCGGAGGAGAGAAGACAACATGGTGGAGATCCGCAAGAGCAAGAGAGAAGAAAGCTTGCAGAAGAAGCGACGAGAATGCCTTCAGAACCAGCACCTTCCCACTGCTGTTCATGCTTCTGCTGTTGAGAAGAAGGTCATTTTCGTAATTAATACCTATTCAATTAGGCTTTATTGAATTAGTGCTCGTTTTGATTCATTATGCTTAATGTTTTACGATTTTAAACGTATTTTGATTGGATTAGAACTTGTAGTTATATGGTTGTTTTTTATTAAATCCTTGCTTCTTTGGTGGAAAAGAAGGTCAGTTTTGTATTTACTCGTTTCAATTGCTTTCTTCTTTTAATGTTTTATGAAGTTTAAACTTGTTTTGATTGACCTAAGTTGATTTTAGTTATGATTAGTTTTAACCTAAATGTGTAGTATTTAAGAATTAGGTGACTTTTTGCGGTTCATTCTTCTGCAATTGAGAAAGTCATTTTCGTGATTAATCATTTCAATTTTCTTCAAATTAGAACTCTTTTTTATTCACTGTTTATGACGTATGAACTTATTTTGATCAAACTAGAGCTTATACTTCTGCTATTCGGAAGATCGATCAGTTTGATAACTACGCATTGCAATCAAGCTTTATTGAATTAGAGCTCTTTCTGGTTCATATTTTTCAATGTTTTATGAAGTTTAAACTTTTTTTTTTTTTTTTAACAGAACTAGAGTTTATTTGATTTGATTATAGTTATGATTGATTTTGACTTTGTGGAGATTAGGTATGAATTTTTTGATTTCAATGAAATTTGAGCTTCTCTTTATTGGGTAATGTAGGTTATTTTAATTTCTTTGATTTCCTGTTAAGGGTTTGATTCTAGTTTTGGGGTTTGAAGTGCTTGGAACGTTCAAGGTTTGATGAATGTTCTCATGTAGTAAGTGAATGCATGATTACAGTTGGAACATCTACCAGCTATGGTAGCTGGTGTTTGGACAGATGATGGTAATCTACAGCTTGAGGCAACAACTCAGTTCCGGAAATTGCTCTCAATTGGTGAGACGTTGCTTCTTGTAATGCACATTTGGTATTCTCTTTCTATGCATATTTTATGACAACTGAACTGTATTTCTCTGTCTTTTGACAGAACACAGCCCACCTATTGAGGAGGTTATACAAGCTGGTGTTGTTCCACGTTTTGTTGAGTTTCTTATGAGGGAGGACTTTCCACAACTCCAGGTTAGTTAGAAACTTTATATTTTTTTGGTATATGTCGGTATTCTAACTGATGGAGATTGTATATTTTGAGGCTTGAATTTGCTTCTAATTCTTGTAGTTTGAAGCGGCTTGGGTGCTTAAAAACATTGCTTCTGGGACATCTGAGAACACGAGGGTGGTTATTGATCATGGTGCTGTCCCAATATTTGTAAAACTTCTTGGTTCTCCTAGTGATGATGTTCGCGAGCAGGTATTTACTCTAGTAATTCTGCTTTTGATTTTTTTTCTTGATGTTTCCTTAGTTTTGTGTTTTTTATATTGATACTGAGTTTTATTGCTTGTTGTGGTTGAACTGAACTGTTAGCCAGGCTATAATTGTAAAAGTGAGTATTTGCGTTCTATTGACACCTTTTCCTGTTATTTAACACACAGGCTGTGTGGGCATTGGGTAATGTTGCTGGTGACTCTCCCAGATGCTGTGATCTTGTTCTTGGCCATGGAGCTTTGCAGCCTCTTTTGGCACAATTGAATGAAAATGCAAAGCTTTCCATGCTCAGCAAGGCTACTTGGACGCTTTCAATTTTTTGTCGAGGCAAGCCTCAGCTACCTTTTGATCAGGTTTGATCTGGCATTATAATTATCTTCTCTAGTCCTAATATGTAAAATCCTTACATGTGGGTTTGTTATTGCTATGTTGTATGGGTAGTCATTTGGTTTGTTTTTCTAAACAGTTTAAGCCTGCACTTCCAGCTCTTGCACGTCTTATTAATTCGAATGATGAAGAAGTTTTTACTGCTGCATGTTGGGCACTCTCATATCTTTCTGATGGTACAAATGAAAAAATCCAAGCTGTTATTGAAGCGGGTGTGTGCCCTCGTCTGGTTGAATTTCTAATGTGAGTGCTAGTTTAGTTATATGAAGTACTTTGGTTGTTCAATGTGCTTTTATTGTTTTGTTGTGCATCAGAGCTCTCATGTACCTTTTTTCAGGCATCCTTCTCATTCAGTGCTCATGCCTGCTCTTCAAACTGTTGATGATATAGCCACTGGGGATGATATGCAAACTCAGGTATGATGTGCTTTGAAGGATAATTTATGTCTTGATTGCTATATGCTTAAGAGATAGTTTATTTTTTTAAGCAAGTAAAATAAATGCTGTTTTATCTTTATTTGCTTGCACATTACTCTTATTCACAAAGACCAAAAATCTTGTGAAATTCTAGTGGAGTTATTGGTTTTGTTTTCATCTTCATCTTTACTTGAAACGCATTTACTACTTGTTTTGGAGTCTTTTAAAACTCAACATTTAAAATGCATCACGGAAGATGTTCCACCAGGAATTTTTGTTATTTTCACTCTTATTTCCAAAAAATAGATCCTTCGCTGATAGCTTTGGATGTGTTGCATGTATTTTTGACCTTACCCTTCTTTCTACTGACATTTCTGGTTGATTTTTATTACATCCTTTCTGGTTCTGTAGAAAAAGGTCAGCTTTGTATTTACTCGTTTCAGTTGCTTCCTTCCTTTAATGTTTTATGAAGTTTAAACTTGTTTTGATTGAACTAATTTGATTTAATTTGATAATAGTTCTGATATATTTTAACCTAAATCATATTTGTCTGTTGTGTTCTGATTATGCCATTAACATGTTACTTTGTGCAGAGTCAACCTAGAGAATGATTTTTCCTCGTGTTTACTGTGTTTTCTTGCTTCAATTTTGTTTTCTGCCTATTTTAGCCTCAGCAAGTTGGTTGATTCGTTACTGTAAACTTTTTATCTTGGGTTTCTCTTTTAGGGTGGAGTTGATCCTGCTAGTAGAAGCATGGAAAAGTCGGGAAGTGTGGACGATGTAATTGATGCCAAACCTTGGCAGATGAGCAAAACACTTGTGCTTGTTATACTTCAATTTCTGGAAAAAGAAAAATTCGAGGAGTCTGCTCACAAGTAAGTTTTGCTTCATTTCTCTGTTTTTTCGTCTTCGTTTCCACATGTCAAGTTGTTTTGGTGTAGGAAAGTTTTGGTTTTGAACTGGTGGTTGTGTGATTATGTTGGATTTAGATGTTTTGGGGGAATTATGGGATTTTGTGGGGTCTAAGTTTTGATTTTTGAAATTAGGGGAGGGGTAGGTTTGGTTTGGTTGAGAAATTTGGAGTTTTGGCGTTGTTAGACTGGTTTAAGCGGTGAAATGTGTGTTTGAAGTTTCATTTTGATTATGTTTTGTTAACAAAAAAATTGGATTATGTCGGGGTTTTTTTGTTTAACGGAATGTTTTATGCAAAAATTTAGTCATATTAAGTACATTGAAATTTGTGCAAATTTAGTCTTTTCATGATTTTTTATGTCCGTGAACACGTCCCGTCATCTGTAGATGCAAGTTAAGAGAATTGTTTGATAAGCTCAATTCTTGTGTTTATATATGAATTATGCTAGGGACTCAGGGGGACCTCCTTAGTCAAACAAAATTTTAGAAGTCAGCAAAATTTTCGTGGTGTTGGGTTTGGTTGAGTGGAGAGTGTTCTTTCATTAGCAAATATTACAAATTGGATGTTTTGGTTGAAAATTATTTAATTGGAATTCCATATTTAGTAAAGGATGTTACTTTCCATGTTTGGGTAGGCTTGAGCAAGAATCAGGGATTTATTTCAACATGAAGTATTTCGACGAGAAAGTTCAATCCGGAGAATGGGATGAAGCTGAGAAATACTTGTCAGGATTTACCAAAGTTGATGATAACCAATATTCTGTGAAGATTTTCTTTGAAATTAGGAAGCAGAAGTATCTTGAAGCACTTTATAGGTATACATAATTTGCATTTATCAGTGAAAGTTTTATAGTTTTGCCTTCAATTTTAGGGTATTAATTTTCTCTGCCTTAAATCATATTACAGGCAAGATAAGGCAAAGGCGGCTGAAATATTAGGGACTGATTTAGAAATGTTCTCAACATTTGATGAGGAACTGTATAAAGAAATCTCACAGTTTTTCAGTTTGAGGTAATTTTTTTTGGTTCTCAATTTCCTCTTAAATAATGAGCTATAAATTGAAAATTTGAATATGTTTACAATCAGTTTGCTCGCGTAAATGCAATAGTCATTATTCAAATTTTTGAGAAAATAGGAATCTTCACTCAATTAGAATTTAAGTAAAAAGCTTGGCTGAGTTGAAGAGTTCTTCCTTTCATTATTGAAGACCAACCTCTATTTACTGCAAGATTTTTATTTCTTTACTTCTCATACTGTTTTCTGTACCCATCAGAGCATCATTTTTTTTATGATTTCATGTGCTTTTCAGCGTTGTAGTATGGCATTGTTGGTTGTTGGACTTGTATTACTTGAGTTTATGACTCTTTGGTGTATCTAATTACATTTCATATGTTATCCTTCTCCAAATTCAATTCAGGGAAAATGAGCGGCTGACCAAGTATGGTGACACCAAGACAGCTCGTAGTATAATGTTGATAGAGCTCAAAAAACTGGTAGAAGCAAACCCACTTTTCCTTAATAAGCTTACCTTTCCTCCCTTGAAGTCATCAAGATTGTGGGCTGTGTTTAAGCATGGGTAAAGTGATGCAATACATGATAAAATACAATTGTGTTTTCTAATTTCTATCTAGTTTTGCCATAAATGATCCCTTTTTTTCTTTTTTCGGTCATTCATTATGCTTAACATAAAGCCTGCTTATGAAGTATACCTTTTTATTGTTCTGTTTGTTTCTTATAAGTGGAGCTGCATTTCCGTGTTTTTGCTGTATGTTTCTATGAAAAAGTTGGAGCCAAATACCCAGTATTTAATACATGAGTTGTTCTTTGATGCAGTTTGAAGTGGGAGCTCCAGTTCAGCAGGGACCCAAGGCTAGATCCTGACGTTAAGAAACTGTTCACTGACCATCCATGTATACCTCCTTTTGGTCCTCTTGCCCCTGCACCGCTCAATCATCCTGTTGCAGCAGTTGGAAAGCCAGCTTCTTATACGTCACTTGAAGCACACGGTGTATGATAATACTCCACATCCTTATCATTTAAGTAAATTTTAACCATATTGACTAATGCATATATTGTAATGTTGGGTTTCTGCCAATTCTGCTGTTTCAAGTGTTAATCCTGTCAATTGTAAAGTTAAATGGAGCTCTCCTGTCAGACCTTCTTCAGTCATTATATTTTGCTATATACATGTATACTTATGATTTGATTTTCTTACTCCTTTCAGAAAATTATTTGTCTGTTGTGTTCTGATTAGGCCAGGAACATGTTAGTTTGTGTAAAGTCTACCTAGGGAATGATTTTTCCTTGTGCTTTACTGTGTTTTATTGCTTCAATTTTGTTTCTGCCTTTTTTAGCTTCAGCAAGTTGGTTGATTCGTTACTGTAAACTTTTTATCTTGGGTTTCTCTCTTAGGGTGGAGTTGATCCTGCTAGTAAAAGCATGGAAAAGTCGGGAATTGTGGACGATGTAATTGATGCCAAACCTTGGCAGATGAGCAAAGCATTGGTGCTTCTTATACTTCAGTTTCTCGAAGAAGAGAAATTTGAGGAGTCTACTCACAAGTAAGCTTTGCTTCATTTCTCTGTTTGTTCGTCTTCATTTCCGCATGTCAAGTTGTTTTGGTGTAGGAAAGTTTTGGTTTTGAACTGGCGGTTGTGTGATTATGTTGGATTTAGGCGTTTTGGGGGAATTATGGATTTGGTGAGGTTTAAGTTTTGATTTTTGAAATTGGGGGAGTGGTAGGTTTGGTTTGGTTGAGAAATTTGGAGTTTTGGCTTTGTTAGAGTGGTTTAAGTGGTGAAATGTGTGTCTGAAGTTTCATTTTGATTTTGTTTTGTTAACAAAAAAATTGGATTATGTTGGTGTCTTTTTGTTTAACGGAAAGTTTTATGCAAAGGCAAAAATTTAGGGTGCATTTGGTTTAGTATTTTGGATAGGATTTTAGGGATAGTATTGGGTTATTGGATAGGATTTTGGTTATTGGATAGGGGTATTACGAGGTAAATTTTAAAAATTTGTGAAAAAGCCCTTAGGTTTACTAATTTAACTAAAGACCCTAACATATAAAATGACAAAAACACCCCAACCACCTGCAGTGTTAGATTCCGGCCACCACCGCCGAAATCTGACCTAAAAATTTCGTTACGGCACAGACCGGTCGGATCTGTGCCGTAACATGCCGTTATGGCCTTTTCCGGCCAGATCCATGGTGGATTTGGCCGGAAAAGGCCAGATCTACGGTCTGTTATGGCCGTCGACGGCCGAAAAAGGCCAAACGAGGGCCATCTTTGGCCGTTAGCGACGGCTAAAGATGTGGCCGTCGTTTTCGGTCAACGACGGCCATTTCTTTGGCCTTCGTTGACGGCCAGATCTGGCCTTTTCCGGCCAGATCCGTGGTGGATCTAGCCTGAAAAAGCCACAGCGGTGAACTTCCAGCCATTTCTGGTCGGAAGTTAGGCCGTTTGTACAGATTCCGGCTATCACCGACGGTGGTTGCCGGAATCTGACAAGTTGGGTGATGGGGGTGTTTTTGTTAATTTTTGAACTTTTTTTTCAGGGGGTATTTAGTGAAATTAATAACCTTATGGGGTTAAAATGTAATTAAAAAAAATAGGGTAATATTTGTAGAATAGTGTGCTAAACATTATTTGGAGAATAGGATCCAGAATAGGGATAAAAATATTAAACCAAGCATGTAGTTAGTCATATTAAGTACATTGAAATTTGTGCAAATTTGTCTTTTCATATTTTTTATGTCTGTGAACACATCCCAACATTTGTAGATAAAAGCTAAGAGAATCGTCTGATAAGCTCAATTCTTGTGTTTATATATGAATTATGCTAGGGACTCAGGGGAACCTCCTTAGTAAAACAGAATTTTAGAAGTTGGCGAAATCTGCGTAGCAATGGTTTTGGTTGGGTGGAGAGTGTTCTTTCCTTGGAAAATATTACAGTTGGATGTTTTGGTTGAAAATTGTTTAATTGGAATTTCATATTTAATAAAGGATTTTACATTCCATGTTTGGGCAGGCTTGAGCAAGAATCAGGGATTTATTTCAACATGAAGTACTTCGACGAGAAAGTTCAATCCGGAGAATGGGACGCAATTGAGAAATACTTGTCAGGATTTACCAAAGTTGATGATAACCAATATTCTATGAAGATTTTCTTTGAAATTAGGAAGCAGAAGTATCTTGAGGCACTTGATAGGTATATGTAATTTGCATTTATCTGTGAAATTTTTTTTATAGTTTTGTCTTTAATTTTGAAGTATTAATTTTTTCTGCCTTAAATCATATCACAGGCAAGACAAGGCAAAGGCTAAAATATTGGGGACTGATTTAGAAGTGTTCTCTACATTTAATGAGGAACTGTATAAAGAAGTTACACAGTTTTTCAGTTTGAGGTAATTTTTGTTGGTTCTAAATTTCCTCTTAAATAATGAGCTATAAATTGAAAGTTTGAATATGTTTATGATCAGTTTGCCCGAGTAAATGCAATAGTCATTATTCAAATTTTTGAGAAAATAGGAATCTTCACTCAATTAGAATTTATGTAAAAAGCTTGGCTGAGTTGAAGAGTTCTTCCTTTCATTATTGAAGACCAATCTCCATTTACTGCAAGATTTTTATTTCTTTACATTTCATACTGTTCTGTGTACCCATCAGAGCATCATTTTTTTTTAATGATTTCTTGCGCTTGCAAGTGTTGTAGTATGGCATTGTTGGTTGTTCGACTTGTATTACTTGAGTTTATGACCCTTTGGCGTAGCGAATTACATTTCTTATGTTATCCTTCTCCAAATTCAACTCAGGGAAAATGAGCGGCTGCCCAAGCATGGTGACACGAAGACAGCTCGTAGCATAATGTTGATAGAGCTCAAAAAACTGATCGAGGCAAACCCACTTTTCCTCAATAAGCTTACCTTTCCTTCCATGAAGTCATCAAGATTGTGGGCTCTGATTAAGCATGGGTAAAGTGATGGAATACATGATAAAATACAATTATTTGTTTTCTAATTTCTATCTAGTTTTGCCATTAATGATCCCTTTTTTTCTTTTTTCATTCATTCATTATGCTTATCATGAAGCCTGCTTATGAAGTATGCCTTTTTCTTGTTCTGTTTGTTTCTTATAAAGTGGAGCTGCGTTTCTGTGTTTTTGCTGTATTTTTCTATGAAAAAGTTGGAGCCAAATACCCAGTATTTAATACATGAGGTTTTCTTTGATGCAGTTTGAAGTGGGAGCTCCGGTTCGGCAAGAACCCAAGGCTAAACCCTGACGTTAAGAAACTGTTTACTGACCATCTATATACAACTCCATTTGGTCCTCTTGCACCTACACCTCTCATTCATCCTGTTGCAGCAGTTGCAAAGCCAGCTTCTTATACGTCACTTGGAGCGCACGATGTATGATAATACTTCACATCCTTATCATTTAAGTAAATTTTAACCATATTGGCTAATGCCTTTTTTGTAAAGCTGGGTTTCTGCCAATTCTGCTGTTTCAAGTGTTAGTCCTATCAATTGTAAAGTTGTAAAGTTAAATGGAGCTCTCCTGTCAGACCTTCTCCAGTCATCGTATTTTGCTATATACTTGTTTACTTATGATTTGATTTTCTTACTCCTTTCACAAAATTATTTGTCTGTTGTGTTCTTATCAGGCCAGAAACATATTAGTTTGTGTAAAGTCTACCTAGGGAATGATTTTTCCTTGTGCTTTACTGTGTTTTCTAGCTTCAATTTTTTTTTTTTCTGCCTATTTTAGCCTCAGAAAGTTGGTCGATTCGTTACTGTAAACTTTTTTTCTTGGGTTTCTCTTTTAGGGTGGAGTTGATCCTGCTAGTAGAAGCATGGAAAAGTCAGGAAGTGTGGATGATGTAATTGATGCCAAACCTTGGCAGATGAGCAAAACACTTGTGCTTGTTATACTTCAATTTCTGGAAGAAGAGAAATTCGAGGAGTCTGCTCACAAGTAAGTTTTGCTTCATTTCTCTGTTTTTTCGTCTTCGTTTCCACATGTCAAGTTGTTTTGGTGTAGGAAAGTTTTGGTTTTGAACTGGTGGTTGTGTGATTATGTTGGATTTAGGTGTTTTGGGGGAATTATGGGATTTTGTGGGGTCTAAGTTTTGATTTTTGAAATTAGGGGAGGGGTAGGTTTGGTTTGGTTGAGAAATTTGGAGTTTTGGCGTTGTTAGACTGGTTTAAGCGGTGAAATGTGTGTTTGAAGTTTCATTTTGATTATGTTTTGTTAACAAAAAAATTGGATTATGTCGGGGTTTTTTTGTTTAACGGAATGTTTTATGCAAAAATTTAGTCGTATTAAGTACATTGAAATTTGTGCAAATTTAGTCTTTTCATGATTTTTTATGTCCGTGAACACGTCCCATCATCTGTAGATGCAAGTTAAGAGAATTGTTTGATAAGCTCAATTCTTGTGTTTATATATGAATTATGCTAGGGACTCAGGGGGACCTCCTTAGTCAAACAAAATTTTAGAAGTCAGCAAAATTTTCGTGGTGTTGGGTTTGGTTGAGTGGAGAGTGTTCTTTCATTAGCAAATATTACAAATTGGATGTTTTGGTTGAAAATTATTTAATTGGAATTCCATATTTAGTAAAGGATGTTACTTTCCATGTTTGGGTAGGCTTGAGCAAGAATCAGGGATTTATTTCAACATGAAGTATTTCGACGAGAAAGTTCAATCCGGAGAATGGGATGAAGCTGAGAAATACTTGTCAGGATTTACCAAAGTTGATGATAACCAATATTCTGTGAAGATTTTCTTTGAAATTAGGAAGCAGAAGTATCTTGAAGCACTTTATAGGTATACATAATTTGCATTTATCAGTGAAAGTTTTATAGTTTTGCCTTCAATTTTAGGGTATTAATTTTCTCTGCCTTAAATCATATTACAGGCAAGATAAGGCAAAGGCGGCTGAAATATTAGGGACTGATTTAGAAATGTTCTCAACATTTGATGAGGAACTGTATAAAGAAATCTCACAGTTTTTCAGTTTGAGGTAATTTTTGTTGATTCTCAATTTCCTCTTAAATAATGAGCTATAAATTGAAAATTTGAATATGTTTACGATCAGTTTGCTCGAGTAAATGCAATAGTCATTATTCAAATTTTTGAGAAAATAGGAATCTTCACTCAATTAGAATTTAAGTAAAAAGCTTGGCTGAGTTGAAGAGTTCTTCCTTTCATTATTGAAGACCAACTTCTATTTACTGCAAGATTTTTATTTCTTTACTTTTCATACTGTTTTCTGTACCCATCAGAGCATCATTTTTTTTATGATTTCATGTGCTTTCAAGTGTTGTAGTATGGCATTGTTGGTTGTTGGACTTGTATTACTTGAATTTATGACTCTTTGGTGTATCTAATTACATTTCATATGTTATCCTTCTCCAAATTCAATTCAGGGAAAATGAGCAGCTGCCCAAGTATGGTGACACCAAGACAGCTCGTAGTATAACGTTGATAGAGCTCAAAAAACTGATAGAAGCAAACCCACTTTTCCTCAATAAGCTTACCTTTCCTCCCTTGAAGTCATCAAGATTGTGGGCTCTGTTTAAGCATGGGTAAAGCGATTCAATCCATGATAAAATACAACTGTGTTTTCTAATTTCTAATCTAGTTTTGCCATTAATGATCCCCTTCTTTTTTTTCTTTTTTGGGTCATTCATTATGCTTAACATAAAGCCTGCTTATGAAGTATACCTTTTTATTGTTCTGTTTGTTTCTTATAAGTGGAGCTGCGTTTCCGTGTTTTTGCTGTATGTTTCAATGAAAATGTTGGAGCCAAATACCCAGTATTTAATACATGAGTTGTTCTTTGATGCAGTTTGAAGTGGGAGCTCCAGTTCAGCAAGGACCCAAGGCTAGATCCTGACGTTAAGAAACTGTTCACAGACCATCCATGTATACCTCCTTTTGGTCCTCTTGCCCCTGCACCGCTCAATCATCCTGTTGCAGCAGTTGGAAAGCCAGCTTCTTATACGTCACTTGAAGCACACGGTGTATGATAATACTCCACATCCTTATCATTTAAGCAAATTTTAACCATATTGACTAATGCATATTTTGTAATGTTGGGTTTCTGCCAATTCTGCTGTTTTGAGTGTTAATCCTGTCAATTGTAAAGTTGTAAAGTTAAATGGAGCTCTCCTGTCATACCTTCTCCAGTCATTGTATTTTGCTATATACTTGTGTACTTATGATTTGATTTTCTTACTCCTTTCAGAAAATTATTTGTCTGTTGTGTTCTGATTAGGCTAGGAACATGTTAGTTTGTGTAAAGTCTATCTAGGGAATGATTTTTCCTTGTGCTTTACTGTGTTTTATTGCTTCAATTTTGTTTTTGCCTATTTTAGCTTCAGCAAGTTGGTCAATTCCTTGCTTTTTATCTTGGGTTTCTCTTTTAGGATGGAGTTGATCCTGCTAGTAAAAGCATGGAAAAGTCGGGAAGTGTGGACGATGTAATTGATGCCAAACCTTGGCAGATGAGCAAAGCATTGGTGCTTCTTATACTCCAGTTTCTCGAAGAAGAGAAATTCGAGAAGTCTGCTCACAAGTAAGCTTTGCTTCATTTCTCTGTTTGTTCGTCTTCATTTCCACATGTCAAGTTGTTTTGGTGTAGGAAAGTTTTGGTTTTGAACTGGCGGTTGTGTGATTATGTTGGATTTAGGCGTTTTGGGGGAATTATGGGATTTTGTGAGGTTTAAGTTTTGATTTTTGAAATTGGTGGAGGGGTAGGTTTGGTTTGGTTGAGAAATTTGGAGTTTTGGCTTTGTTAGAGTGGTTTAAGTGGTGAAATGTGTGTCTGAAGTTTCCTTTTGATTTTGTTTTGCTAACAAAAAAATTGGACTATGTTGGTGTCTTTTTGCTTATCGGAAAGTTTTATGCAAAGGCAAAAATTTAGTTGTATTAAATACATTGAAATTTGTGCAAATTTAGTCCTTTCATGATTTTTTATGTCCGTGAACACGTCCCAACGTCTGTAGATACAAGTTAAGAGAATCGTCTGATAAGCTCAATTCTTCTGTTTATGTATGAATTATGCTAGGGACTCGGGGGAACCTCCTTAGTCAAATAGAATTTTACAAGTTGGCAAAATCTGCGTAGCAATGGTTTTGGTTGGTTGGAGAGTGTTCTTTCCTTAGCAAATATTTCAATTGGATGTTTTGGTTGAAAACTGTTTAATTGGAATTTCATATTTAATAAAGGATGTTACATTCCATGTTTGGGTAGGCTTGAGCAAGAATCAGGGATTTATTTCAACATGAAGTACTTCGACGAGAAAGTTCAATCCGGAGAATGGGATGTATTTGAGAAATACTTGTCAGGATTTACCAAAGTTGATGATAACCAATATTCTATGAAGATTTTCTTTGAAATTAGGAAGCAGAAGTATCTTGAGGCACTTGATAGGTATATGTAATTTGCATTTATCTGTGAAATTTTTTTTATAGTTTTGTCTTTAATTTTGAAGTATTAATTTTTTCTGCCTTAAATCATATCACAGGCAGGACAAGGCAAAGGCTAAAATATTAGGGACTGATTTAGAAGTGTTCTCTACATTTAATGAGGAACTGTATAAAGAAGTTACACAGTTTTTCAGTTTGAGGTAATTTTTGGTGGTTCTAAATTTCCTCTTAAATAATGAGCTATAAATTGAAAGTTTGAATATGTTTATGATCAGTTTGCCCGAGTAAATGCAATAGTCATTATTCAAATTTTTGAGAAAATAGGAATCTTAACTCAATTAGAATTTATGTAAAAAGCTTGGCTGAGTTGAAGAGTTCTTCCTTTTATTATTGAAGACCAACCTCCATTTACTGCAAGATTTTTATTTCTTTACTTTTCATACTGTTCTGTATACCCATCAGAGCATCACTTTTTTTTTATGATTTCATGTGCTTGCAAGTGTTGTAGTATGGCATATTTGGTTGTTCGACTTGTATTTCTTTAGTTTATGACTCTTGGTGTATCTAATTACATTTCTTATGTTATCCTTCTCCAAATTCAATTCAGGGAAAATGAGCGGCTGCCCAAGTATGGTGACACCAAGACAGCTCGTATTATAATGTTGATAGCGCTAAAAAAACTGATAGAAGCAAACCCACTTTTCCTCAATAAGCTTACCTTTCCTTCCATGAAGTCATCAAGATTGTGGGCTCTGATTAAGCATGGGTAAAGTGATGCAATACATGATAAAATACAATTATGTGTTTTCTAATTTCTATCTAGTTTTGCCATAAATGATCCCTTTTTGTCTTTTTTCATTTATTCATTATGCTTATCATGAAGCCTGCTTATGAAGTATACCTTTTTATTGTTCTGTTTGTTTCTTATAAAGTGGAGCTGCGTTTCTGTGTTTTTGCTGTATGTTTCTATGAAAGGTTGGGGCCAAATACCCAAGTGTTTAATACATGAGTTGTTCTTTGATGCAGTTTGAAGTGGGAGCTCCGGTTCGGCAAGAACCCAAGGCCAAACCCTGACGTTAAGAAACTGTTTATTGACCATTTATATACAACTCCATTTGGTCCTCTTGCACCTACACCTCTGATTCTTCCTGTTGCAGCAGTTGCAAAGCCAGCCAATGAATCTACCCAATGAAGCTGCTGCGGCCAGTTGTTAAATTTGAGGACCTAAATTTAGTTTTAGGAGAACATGATATAGGGCACAATTATGTTCTTCTTTGTATGGGATATTCTTATTTTTCCTCTTATAAAACCTTTTTAGAAATTATTTTTCAGGTATAATATAATACTGATTACTAACACTTTGATCACCACATAAACTGAGATTCAAGGTAGAATAGAATCACTAATATTTCTTGTTAGCAATAGCTGAAACACATGTTTGGGTTCTTTCTTTCAGCCAAAATGACACCTTCAAGTTTCACCGTGTTTTCTTCTCTCATCAATATGAACACATCGACTAATTCTTCCCATCCCAACCCTAATTTTTCTGTAATTCTAGGGCCAGCACATAATAAAATAACTTCTTACTAAATTTTATTCTTAACCAACAACATCTCGGAAATCAAAGCTTTATGATTTTATTAAGAAAATGCTCAATTCCATTTGAGCTTCACAAAGGCTGATAATGTTTTCTAGTTTACATGGAAGAGGGAGGTTACTTATCTTTTATTTACATGAACTGCATAGATCCAAATCCTCAAATGGGGCATCTATCCTGGGCTGACGCTTTTGTCCTTACAGCTGATCCTGTAAGTATGTTGAGTGAGGCTTCTAGTAGTGGGCATGTTTGATATATGATGATAAGGCAACCTCCTAATAATTTAAGGTCAGATTATTCTTTCTGAATTGAAATTCATATGTGATATCTTTTCTCTTTTATCCTATAGGTAGCCGATATATGTTGTTTGACCATTCACTGGTAAAGGAGTAATGCTAGATCTATAACACAGTCTTACAATCCCTGACATAGCAGCTTGCAATTAGACATGTGAGACTTATAACAAGCAGACGTGACCTATTTACGAGTTGTCACTTCAAGGTTTGTGAGATTGGATGGTAGACTTAGTATTACTATTTCACATTTGGGTAGTTGTTATGGGTGATGGTATATCACCTTGTGTAATGATTCTCACTCTTTTCTGTTCTGCTCAACTATAATTGCAAAATTATGTGTCAAGTATAACAAAGTGATTGCTTAGTGAATTCTATAATATATCATTTAGAATCAGTTCCAATAGTTTAGTTGCTTTCACTTGATCCCACCCTCAATTTAATTTAATTGATGTGTGGTTTGATTTTACAGATATATGAGAAGCTGAGTGCGGATGGATTGACGCTTCTATTGGTTAGTGAGCTCTATAAAAATTAATGTGGTGCTTTGTGCTAATCCGACATTTGGGCAGTGCTCCATCAAGATTTTACCGAAAGTTGAATTTAGTTAACTGTCGAACAGGTGTTCCTAATTACTTAGACCTACACAAGCCTTTTTTTCTTTTTACTTGTATAACCACTCCTTTGTTGTTAAAGAAAAGTAAAATTTTTGAATATAATATGACTAGAGTAACCACTCATGTATTTTCGTGACGGGCCCGGGCTGGGACTATGCCTTTATCATGGATCGGATTTGGGCCTGGCCCAGGAGATATCCGGTTCTAATCCGGTCTATTATCCTCTCTATCCTGTAAAATAGTGATATAGCCCAAAATCCCTCTTGAAAATATGTGACAATTCCATATTGGGCTATGCTCTGGGCCGTAGGGTAATATCAAACTGAGCCACAACCAGAATGGGTTGGAGAGGCGACGCATGACCTATAATTACTTTTGACATAAGAAAAAGATGCCTTTGTTTTTCATTAAATAAATGTTTTGAGTGAAAAAAATAAAAAATTAAATTACCCACTTTATTTTTTTAAGTTTCTTACTAGCATATTTAGTATTTTATATCTTTTTATATGCAAACGTCCACGCCCACATGACAAGGTGATCCTATCAACTGAAATCTTCGTTCTCCTCAGGTTTATTTCAAGTAGACAAAAATTAAATGAAGTTAAATTCAATTAAATTCATAATTTCAAAAGGAAATTAAAGCTTATAAGAATTATCAAATCACTTAATATTCCTCAGGAATTGATTTTTAGATCTTATATCCTTCTAACCTAAAACAAATATAATTGTTGTTTGATATTCGTTCGAAGAGTTCTTTATTAGTTTCTTTCTTCTTTTATTTATTTATTTATTTTCTAATTTTGTATTTTGAAAACTATTATCAATTATATTGCTTAAATGGAAAACTTATAGTATAACCAGAAAATTACTAAAATTTAAATCAAATGAGATTGTATTTAATTTCCTGAAGACACAACATACCATTAATTTCTCTTAACCAAGTTAAGAGTAGTCTAGCTAAGTTTTTAGAATAGTAGAAGAAAATTTATGTCCTACCCAAATAGTAAATAAATAATACGTAATTGTATTATATCATGGAAATTAGAAGAAATAATATGAAACTTTTTGTCTAATCACTTAGAAATTCCAAAGCTATGATATAGTCATATAAAGATGCATATCATAAGTTTTACATTTTAGGCTTACAAGTTTCACGTTATAAGTTTTGTGGTAGTTTCTAACTAACACTAACTTTACCTACTTCCAAATTCCAAAACGGTGATCTAAATTGTTAGATCGTTCATATGGCAACCACCTATATAATAAACTAAGAAAGTTTCACATCATATTTATATGAGTTAGCTATGCTTTCATTCTTAAAGTTGAGAGTTGTACTTACTTTTAGCATTATAGAATATAAACAGTTTAGTCTAGTTAGATGACTCAGATGTGACTTTTCAATAAAATGTCTATAATATATTTGTTTTCTTATTCTAATGTTATTGGAAATTATCGCAATTATAAATACAAAAAATTATCAAAGCAAAAACCAAAATGAGTAATGTAAAAATTTTAAAATATCCAATTTTTTACTTTTTTTAATACATATATTTTATTCATTTTTAATAATATGTAAATAAGATAAATTTTTATTTAAAAGTCTTATTTTATTATACTAAAATTTTCATATCCCAAACCTTAAGGAAGAAGATGTAAATAACCCTATTTTTGCTACCACTAACTATGTGAATCTGGATCCGGATCCCACGAATGTGATGGGTCCACCCACCCAGAAGAAGGAGATTTGAATTACAACTGGAGAAAGACTTGACAGGGAGAAGCTGAATCTGATTGACCCAAACGAAAAATCAAGGCTCAATTGGGTCCCTGTAGGCTGTCACTGCCTCATCATGTTTGTAGGTAGCAATGGACCATCTTGATCTTGACATTTCCATGAGCTCCATATTTCTATTCAATAACGTTTGTTTTCAGACAAAATTACTGCACCCACATAACAAGTTCGTAGAATTTTTCATTGACTTTGTGAGGAATCTCTGCGGGGATCATTCCCCGTTTGGAATCAACCAAACATTATAAACAAAACAAGTTCCAAGACCATTTTACTCATTATAAACAATACAGATAATCCATATACTAAATGATTTTATTGAATATCTAGATCTTTTTACTCATTAGTAAACTCCAATTTTAAAGATTCTGAATATCACTCTTGTGAATTGAAAAATCTCATAGTAATGTATAATTGAGCAACAAGATAGAAAAATGAAATAATACTAAATCAAGCAACCGAGTAATATGAAAAATCTTGTCAGTGAATTGCAAAGCACCAATCTAATACTATAAACATATTTGCTAAACTCTTATCTTTCACCCTCACCATTTCCTAAACTCTCAGTGAATTGAATGTTCATTGAATAACTATCAGGGGAAGTTAAAACACATCCCTCAGTTGTGTACTTACAAAAGGCTGCTCGAATTCAACATCAAAATTTAGAAATTAATCAAAACCTACAGACAATTGCTAAGAACCTAACAATATCCCTCAGTTCAGACCAAGTAAAGCTGCCATGTCATCAGAGTTCCAGCCGGCCATCTCCTCCACAGTGGCCATAACTGCTAAGTCATTATAGTTCCACAGACCGATTTTCAGGTTTCTATAAACCATTAACGATGTATCCTTCACCTCAGTGGAAGTGTGTTTTACTAAGGTTCCAACATTGAATCCTAGCTGCAAAGAAGTATTAAACAAGGGTTTTTCATAATTTTGTAAGGGAGTGTTCGATTTTTTTAAGAGATTCTGCAACAAATACCTTAAACAAACCATAATCTTCCACAGTACTCACGGACTTGCCATCCAAGCGCCCAAGATTCTCAATTAACCTGTTTTCTTCGGCAATTACCTCTGAAGATATTTGTCGTTCTACATTTCCTCTGTTTTCCAAGTTAGCTGTAATTTCCTTTACCTCATCCGGAGCTAGCAAATTTGAAGTTGCCATTTCTGTTAGTGAATGTAAAAACACAGAAAGTGAGAATGAGGAGAACCCTAAAACAACTTTTTTGTTTTATTTTGAACTAAATTTTTAAAAATTTGGGCGTCGGCGTGAGAGGTTTTAATTTCCTATTTTCTCAAGAAATTAATACTTAATATTCAACCATAAATCAAGCTGAAATCATAAATCAAGCTGAAATAATCCAATAAGGAATTAATTTCTTATTTTCTCAAGAAATTAATACCTAATATTCTACAACAAATCAAGCTAAAACCAACTTATTGTCAGATCATTAAATCCAATTCACTAACTCTTAGAAAAAGAAGCGAAAACCACATACGAAATTATATATCTACAACGATGCATGAAAAATCGAAAATAATAAAGAGAAAGCAAAGTAGATCAGATGAAAAATAACAGTTGGATAAATGACAATAACAGAGAAGAAAGTGACCTGGTAATGATTGGTGAAGATCGAAGGCGATGAAATTAGAGTTTTCCCAAACTCCTCTGATCTATTCCACGGAGGAACGATTGTATTGTGTTTGAAAAAAACAGCCAAAGTGAGCTCGCAAAAGGTGAGTGGAGTTATTTATAAATTTTTTTGTGTTTACGGATTTGCCCTTTGACCCGAGTTAGCCGGTTCAGGATGAGCCCAATATTGGTCTGCGACAAATAGATGTTTTCCCAAATGATAGATCACCTTTCGAGAAACATCGAACACAATACAGAGCTCACTTTTTACTCGTGCCATGTCGAAGCACACTCGCGATCAAGCTCTGGTAATCAGCTAATCATCTTGTTAATTTTTCTAAAGTCA